AAAAAAAAAGAAAGAAAGAAAGGTACTAAGGAGTACAAACTACAAATCAATAAAACAATATTATCAAAAACCAATAAAATCATTTGGTCCATTTTCATTCATATCCAAACTAGTACGTACCCCGTGCGATGCACGTGACAAAGATATTAAATGAGTTATTTTCATTGTCTTGTCCGTTTAAGTCTAAAAAGTAATAATGTTATTATCTATTTTTCTACCTCTTTTAATCAACGTTAAATCTAAAAAAATATTAAGCCGTCATCTGACAAATATGTATGCAGTTATGTGTTCGTGTCTCCTAAGTCACAAACATTATGAATAACAATACAAATTATTCATTCAAACTTTTATTCATTGGAAATATATTAAAATAGTTTATATAACAGTCATTAAATACCACTTTCAATATATTTATAAATAAAAAGTACATAAAATTTCTGGTGTGTTCAAATTTAAATATTCTTTTATGAGCTCAATTTTAAATCATCCAGACATTTGGTCAAACGCATAGGCGTGTTCAAATTTAAATCATTGGCATTTTGGTCGGTTAAAATTTAAATCATCTATCATGGTAATGTGATGTGTATTATATATATATATACAATTTTTCAACAAATAATATGTGCTTTATAAAAATAAAAATAATAATTTCACAAGACTTTAAACGTATTTGGTTTTTAATCACAATAGAAAAATCATGGTGAGTTGTATTGAAAAGGTGTTATGAGATAAAACAATTAACTAAAATAATTAAATAACATACTTGATGAAAATAAAATGCATTAATAACCTTTGAATTTTCTTACTACTAATTCTAGTAAATAAAATGACTTTTTATATAAGTATAGATGTGCATGTAAAATTTTTTAAACTATTTTGTAAAGAAAACATGTCTAAAAATAATTAAACTTAACATGCGTCACGTATATGTGAGTATATATATATGTACATATAGATAGAATATGTAAAAAAAAATGTCTGAACATTTTGTTTAAGTATCTAAAATATTATAAACCTAAATAAAGACATTATCTCACGTTAAAGTTGTGTTAGAGAAGATTTATAAGAGACCATAATTATGATGTTACTTCCATATGAAGATTTGACTACACAATATTTCGAAAATTATTATCATTTTTTAAGTTGTTACCATAAAAAAAAATTGTACGCTTAACAATTTATCAATTTTACAAATACAAATTGAAATTAATGCAAAAGCTATCAATCTTACAAATACAAAAAGAGATTAATGCACACCAAAAATTATGTGACAAATAAAAAGAAATTTATATGTAATTGAGATCAAAGACGAACACTGAAGATTATTTCTATTAACATGTACAATGTGTATTTTTTAATGTTTTTTTTTTTACAAAATATTATTTCTAAGTGTGATATATAAATATTAAAAATACTTAAAATATTTTATAACATCTATAAAAACATCTAAAGTATTCTATATTATTCACAAATAATGTTTAAAGCTACTTAAATTTTTCTAAACTACCTGTAAAAAAAACATGTCTAAAAATTCTTCATTTAACCTCCATATATGTATATATAGAGAGAGAGAAAATGTGTAAAAAAATTTATACAAACAATATTTAAAAGTATCTAAAATATTAATTATTAGACAGGTGAAATTTAGATTTTTAAAAAAATCTAAATAGATAATGAATTTATAGTAGTAACTAGTACAACACCCGTGTATTACACGGGTGCTTGTTGAAAAATTATTCTTAAATTTTAAAATTAATGAGAAAACTATATTAAATTTAGTTTACTTTTTTTAAAAAAAAATATATTACTATATATTTTAGAATGATATGTGTTACTTATGACTTACATGCGTTATATTATAATAGTTTTTATAAAATATATCCTATAACTACTTGAAATATAATATATTAGTTGATAAATAATTTTATTTTTCTAATTAATATTAACAATAATTTTATTAATGTTATAAAGATAAATATAATTTTTTTTTATAATATGGATGTTAAATCGAAGCTCATCAAAAGAAGATTAATTTGATATATTACATATGTAAAACTGGTAAAAAATACAAAAGTTATTAACTTTTAAAATATATATACAATTTAATAATTATAATAAGGAATGATATTAAAATACAATTAATACATGTAACATGACCATAAATAATCAATATATTTATGGTAATCCGAACCTAATTATTTTTTGGTTTGGAATTAAATTAAAATTTATCCAAGCCTAATAACGAAGCATGTAATTTTGCCACATAGGATTCCGAAGCACCAGAAGCAGCCACGTAGGCTCAGCGCGTTCTGTATTAATATATAGGGGGAATTAGACTTTTATTTATTTATCTTTAAAGTTGTTACGATAGATGTGATTTTTTTGACTCGTGAAGATAAAATTTTGTAAGCTGGGTTATGAAATTTTCTTAAACTGGTCCATCTTTATGAAATGAGTTTTTTGAGCTGGGTATACAGATTTAAAATTGTAAAAAAAATAAAAATAAACTTTCATAAATCATTTGATTTGGTATTTTCGGAGAGCTTCATTAATTTAAAAGTGTAAAATAAATAAATAAATAAAGTACAACTGAAAAAGTTACCACCAATTATATGGAGAATTAAACTAAATCCAATTTTGTAGGATGCATTAAATATTGATTAGATTTTATATGTAAAATAAAATAAAAAATATCTGGAATAGTTTTACGCGTTGCAATATTTTATATTTAAAAAAATTAACAATTTTATATTTAAAAAAAATTAAAAAATCTTCTTTTACATGTTGCATACCATCATTTTAGGAACTACATGGATATTTCTAAATTATTGCATAACCAATATTTTAGGAACTAATTAAATACTAATTTGATTTGCATACCCAAAATATTAGATGCATTAATTAAATACTTGATAAAATTTAAAATTCATTAATTAAGTTTCACTTTTCTAAATACTATATTTAGTAAAGAGGATCCTCTTTAATACTCCCTCCTATTTAAAATAAATGTCGTTTTGAGAAGTTTCACTATAATTAAGAATATTTTTGTTGTCAATAATAACCCTATTTAATGAAAATAGAGATGAATGTTTTAAGAAAAAATGAAGAGTGAATATGAAAAGACATAGTGTATTTATTGACCCAATGAGGGTAATAATGGGAAAAACATGTACAAAAGACCCAAAACGACATTTATTTAGTTAATAGTTTTTTTTTTTTTTTTCGAAACGATAGATATTATTATACATCAAAAGCGCACAAGTGTGCTAATACAAGCAGCCAAAGGCTGAAAAGTGGGAGGACAGGTCCGGAGACCGCCTAGAAACTCGGCTAGCAACCACTAGGAAGAAAACTTGCGACTAAACTAAACAACAAAACAAGACCCCCACAGGGTAAAAAAGCAACAACAAAAAACAACTAAAACAACTAAACAAGACCCCCACAGGGTAATACCGGAGTGTCGGACCTCCACAGGGTAATAAATTTGACATCCGGATGCACAGGGGCCAACGGCCCAAACCTAAAATACAATCACAAACACAAAACAAACACAAACAAAACAAACACAGCAACAGGAAAAAAAAATAAATAAAACCAAAATAACAACAGAACCCTCCCCCAGCGAGCAGACAAACCCAACCAGCAGTGGACGATCGACACAAGAAAGATCTCAGCTCGAGAGTCCGCTACCGAAACTGCCTACTGCCTATACAGTAGAAGACACCGAGCCCCGAACTGATCCCAGAACCGACCCATCATCAACGGAAAGAGCTGCAACCCACCCTCACACCGGCCCCACCCGAACTCAACTAGCTCGAAATAACCCGTTCCCCACCGCCTAACACCACTAGGCGGACGGGCACGTACAAAGGGAGATCGCACTCTTAACCCCGACCACCGCAATAGCCAAGCCGCAGCGACCAGAGCCATAACCCTCCCCTCAGTACAAGAGCAGCACCAAACAACCGCAGAGCTCCGACGACAGAGCCCAGTCCCACCGGAGCATTCAAATCTGCCGGAGAAGAACCACTCCAAATGACCGTAGAAAAAGCGAAATTGATCGATCTTATCTCCACAGATCTTCACCCATCGACAATTGAGACCCGGACCACCCGATAGAAGCCGCTCCGGGAGGCTGCCGCCACCAATTGAAATCGTCTCTACCGCCAATCGACTGGACCCCACCGCCGAACACCAAGCCGAAATTGAAGCCGCACTTACCAGGGGAGGGCCAGGCGGTCAAAGACGACCCCTGGCCGAGACTTTGCCGACGTGAGGAGAGGCGAAGCGGGCAGTTGCAGCGGGACGAGAGGAAATCACGATTTGGGGGAGGTAGTATAAGTATAGATACATTGTTTTAGCATTTTCTTTTCACAAAATATACATAGTTTTATTATAAAAAGTATGTGTTTAGAGTTTAAGGCGTTCAACTTGTGTTATAACACGA